CTTCCTCGGGGAGAAGTGCAGTGGCGCCAGCAGCGAGAGAGGGGGGCAACTCTGTACAACTGCTGCTTTAGCCTCTTCAGTGGCGCTCTCCTGCCCAGAGAGGAAGGGCCGTCCCCTCCCCCGGGTCTGTACCTCAGCGTCTCCTGACCATGGTCAGCATCTCCTGACCATGGTGACTCCAGCTCTAGGGCTGCGCCTCTGAGAGCTGAGCTGGTTTTTGGTCTATGAGGTTGGAGTGGGACATCTCCTCTGTGGCTGTGTGGTTGATACAATCGAGAAAAAGTCCTCGACGTATAGCTAGTCCCCTATAGATGTGGTCAGCTGCGTGGCATCTGTCTCCACACCACTGACTGGATGAGTGTGCAGCACAGGGCGGCTTGTCTTGTGACCTGCAGCACCCAGCCCAATTACTTGAGCTGTTGCTGCTTCCCGTGACTCCCTCGCCACGTGTGTGCCGGGATGCTTCCTGTGAAGCAGGACTGCGCTCACTGGTCTCTGGTGTGCCCTACTTTTCCTAACCTGGATGGAGCGTGGCTCCTGGGAGCTGTGGCAGGCAGATCCCAGCTGAGCTGGTGGGCTGTGGGGAAATACACGCTTCCTCCTGCTGCCCTTCTGTTGCCCAATATGAGATGCGGTGTCACTGGGGTGGGCGGCTGGATGAACTGCCCTCGGGGTGGTGGGGCAGAGGCTGCCTGGCTGTAGGAGACCTGAGCTCAGCGAGGGCTGGTGGAGGATGTATGCAAGGAGCCAAAGTCCGTGTACTCCTGGCCATGTCACCTGGCAGGTCCCCCGGCCTCCCCTGTCATCAGCGAATGTGATGTGTGTCTGCTTTCTGTGGCTTGCTGCCCAGGGTCACCAAAATCTCCCCACTGTTGGCACAGGAGGGAGTGCAGCACACTGCTGTTGTGGGCAGGGGGTGAGCGCACTGGGGGAAAAACTTTTCTCTTGTGTCTGCTTCCCTCTCAGCAGCCAGGGCAAAAGCTGCCCCAGCCTGAATGCGCTGCCCCCGCAGCTGCGGTTACCCCAAGTGCTGGCTGTGCCTCTGGGCTAGCCCGGTTCCTCTTGCCCTGCTGCTGGTGGCAGGCAAAGCTGTTTTCCCTGCCAGTGCTGCTCCTGGCACGGGCCTGTCTGAAAGGGGATGCTGTGCTGCCAGGCCTCTGTCCTCCGCTCCCACACTGTCCCTGCCTGGCTGGGCCTTGCTCTACTGGACTGGCTCCACGGAGCACAGGGCTCCATGCTGCCAGAGCTCCCGACAAGCCTCTTGCAGGCTCAAATCCAAGGATGTGTTGGCAGTAGTGTGCCTTCACGTGGAGCTGATGAGGGGATTGCCTTCCTGCCTGCTCAGGGGAAGTGGCTTCTCTGTGTGATCTGGAGGTGGCTGAACTGCTCCTGTTCCCTCAAACCCGTTCTCTCCCTCTTCCTGGCAGACAAAACTTCCTTGGCTTTTGCCCCTGCTCCCAGGAAGCTCCCTGGCTGCTGTGCAGCCAGCATGGTGCCAGCCTTGTATGTGCCTAGGGCCCCCCTCGAGGGGCAGGGGGCTGCCACTTCCACATTGTGGCAGTAGCTTGACTTGGGGAAGTGCCACCCACTCAAGCTGGGGCTGGTGCCAGCCATGGAGAGGAGGGCTGGTCGCGTGTGCTGCTGAGTCACGCTGAAGCAGGGGCTGCGCAGCCCCCCCCCAGGGATGCCTGGCACGTGGGGGCAGGGGGCCTTGCTCCTTGCCCTGGCCCTCGTCTCAGATGTGTGGCTTGGCAACGCTGGCTTGGTGACAGTGCAGCGCCTAGTGCAAGGCATCTGTGCCCTCTGCAGCAGTGGGGTACCTATGCTGCTGTCCCTGCTCTTGGGTCAATGTGTGCGAGGCTGGGTTGAGGGACTGGCTGGGGGTGCTCCTGGTGGCAGCTGGTGGCCGGTTTGGAGCTGCCCTCTTGCCCACAATGTACCCAGAGAGCCTGCCCATCTGCCATCCCCCAGCTGAGCCCCCAGCACAAAGTTTTGGGCTCCTCGGGGGTCCTCCAGCTGCTCAGCTGTTCTTGTCCCATTTCCTCTCGTCATTTTGAGATCAGCTCTGTTCAATGGATTTTGGAGCCAGGACAAGGATTGCTATCC